CTAATAAATGTGGTCAACTCAAATTATGTGTGCAACTAAATCATCGTAAAAAGAGCTGACCATTCTTTCTCTCTCTCTCTCTCTCTCTCTCTCTCTCTCTCTCTCTCTCTCTCGCTCTCACTCTCATAAGACCTCTCTCTCTCTATCTCTCATGAGATCTCTCTCTCTCTATCTCTCTTTCTCTCTCTTTCGCAAGAGATCTCTTTTGTCTTTTATGAAACCTCTCTATTCTTTCTCTTTTCTTCATTCCCTTCTCTACTTTCTTTATTCTTCTCATCAATCACTTTTATTTTATTTTTTTGTTAAATAGTGACAAAAAATTAAAATCACTCTTGATGAACTTGATTTAGATGTCAGATATATTATCATGATGCAACAAAGTTCATACAAATAATAGTTATAAAATCTTACTCCTCGATTTAGGATAAGTAAGAATCGATCCTCAAGGAGCATGGGTAATGAGAGTAATAAATTTTGCTTATTTTATTTCTTATATATATACAGATATACTTGAGATCATGAAAGGTGGAATTAAATATAAAAAGAGTGAAGACAAGATAAATGAAAAGTGTGGCAAAGGAGATAGAATAGATATAATGTAATGGAATGATAGAATAAATGATAAAATTAATTTAAACTAAGAGTTAATCTATCTATAGAGAAGATTACAAGGACGCTCCAAATTTAGATCTTGCATAGACTTCATTGTGTACCAGTCTTAGGCTAACTAGTGCTTGATCCACGATGATTTTGATGCACTCTAGGTAGTGTCTTCTCTATGATGATCTTGAGCATGAGAATACTATTTACTAGGCCTTGATTTTCCTCATTTTTCTTTTGACTAGCCACTACTAGAGAGGGAGTCAAAAAGCATCTTCCAAGAGGGGGCATGAGGCCTTAAACTTCTAGAAAATTAGACCCCTCTAATAGATGGTTCTGATTAATAACTAACTCTCTTGGTGAATGGCCCAGATTCTTTCATGAGGGCGGCACTCTAATCCTCTTCTTATTCTCATCTTAAAATGTCCTATATCTCATCTCTTGGTAGCTCTTTTAAGTCCAAATGAGTTTGGCCAAGGTGACACCTTCTCTTGGGCCCACAAACATATCAGCTCGTCCCTCTCCATAAGACTTGAGTTTTTTCTTATGTTAAAAACTTAGACTTCTTCTATTACTTCCAACTCAAAATAAGAGTTCACCTAAGTCCTTGTAATTAAATAATTATTAAAAAAATATGAGACAATCACCACTTGACTTCATAAAAGTCAAATGAGGTTAGTCTCATAATATAAATAAAATAATATGTATTAGGACTTAAATGATAAAATATTATGAATGTCATAATGAGTTGATAACATATGTATAATTATATTGTCTACCTATTAATTAACATCTATATATAAGATATTAATGTATAGATACAACCACTGATTTATAATTATCAGTTCTATATATAAATTAAATTATAATCAATTTCTTTATGTTCAACTTGAAACTTACATCTATACTAATATCTTATTAATTTTTAATTATAAATATTATTAGATAATGGTCATTTAAACACAACAATGTGTACATCATCTTTTTGGCCTCGTTGCTAAGGAAGCTCAAAGAAATGATACAGGTTGAGGTAGGTGTGTTTCATTTAAGGGGACTCAAAGAAGTGATATAGGTCGAGGTAGGTGTGTTTCATCTAAGGGGACTCAAAGAAATGATAAAGACAACCCAATGAGAAGAGGCAAAGCTCAACACTATCCCACCTGCCCATGCTGACTCGACCTTGTCCCTCTAGACCTTTGGAGGACTCGACAGTTGGCCAAGAGCCCCAATAGTCAAGTGTCAAATTCCGCCCACAACTAACAATAGGAGGAAGTCTGGGTGACTAGGGCCACTCCAATTGACTCAAGAGTGGCAAACAGCATTGCCCATATCAAAGGAAGAAATTGAACCTCACAGCCACACAAATATAAGAATGGGAGGTCAAGGGTACGTGCTTCCATTGCAATGACAAATTTTCTCCAGGATACAGATGTCGTAGAGAATTACAAATCTTCTTCTCACTAGTAGAGATGGATTTCAACTTCTCACTAGTCTATATTAACACAAAAAGCAAAGAGACAAAGTCAAGCAATGATATACAATTCAAAAAAGGGGCTCAACAATGATATATTTGTATAGAAAAAACTAATTCCATAACCATAAAAAAAAAGGGGGAATAGACCCATGAAATTTGGATGATGAATAGAATCAATGAATTCCATCATTTAAGTTTAAAAGATGTCTTGTAGGAATAGAGAAAGGAGCAACTCTGAATTCATTAAGATATTTAATTCTTCAAAAAGAAAAGGCTAACAAGGAATGCAATTTTTCTTTTCTACTAATACATGTACTTGTTTTGTCATTCCAATTGAGCCTAGCTTAGGAAAAGTTTCAGTCTAGAACATAAATATGCAAATTTGGTCTTGGGTACAATGCTATATGTAATTATGGATTATCAATACAATTTGATAACCTACTACGTAATCCTCTTCTAGTAAACTTATTCATACCAAGGGTACAATTTCATAACTTTCTTTTGGTAAATCAAATGGTGTCTCTCACATTCTCTTATTCACATTCTCTCACATTCTCTCAATTTGACACTGCAGATTGCATCCCCAAAAATCATATTTTGACTGTCTCAACTATATCCATTGTACTTGAACTATTAGATAATTATAGTAAAAACTACCATCTCTTTTTCTCTCACTATTCCAAAATCGTACATGGAACTTTCATCTGGTATGGCTCCTCCACAGCCATAAATAAATTTGGGGGCTAGTTTTGTATCAACATTAACTATTTATTGGGTAGTGAATAAAACAAAGTTTGATTGTGCAACCCATAATTAGATTGGGGAATTCTTTTATCCATAAAAATACTTCAGAATTAATCTCATTCTATTTAAAAGAAATCTTTTTTGTTCAAAAATGATTTATTAGGTTGATTCCAGCAAAATACTTGTTTTTTGTCAATGGATAAGACGGTCAGACCTATATTTTTATTATGAAAATGATATAATTAGCAAAAAAATTATAAATAATCATGTCATAAAATAAGAATTACATATTAGTAAGTATTTATAACTTATTATCTAGTTTGTTTCCCACTATACATATTAGTATTCATTTTCGTTTATTTTTTTAATAATTAAGAAATGAGGGAAGTAAATTCATCTTCCTTGAGTACATCCTCGATAAACACACCTCCATGTCACTTATAACTCCATTGCAAGGCATCACTCAGCTTTTTCTGGGGGAGAGATCTCTACTAGCGGTGGGTGGTGGGGGATCCCAATGGAACCTCCCTCAACACCTTCAAGGAGAAGGAAATTCGAGAACCTCTACCGTCCTCCTTCCACTTAAAACTATTATACCTCCACTGGTGGAATGTGAGGTCAGCATTGTCGGTCTGCCTGTGTTCACCCCTCATCCACTTGCATATGCTGGAGCATAACGATCATCAGAGTGGAATTCCCAAACTCCAAAAGTAGAGACAAACAGATTTCTCCTCTGGGACTCTGTCACCTCTCATTTGTAGTGAAGTTTCAATAGAGGAACCTTGGTGTATGTCTGAGCATGTGCAAATGTATTTGTGGTGTGTATGCCAGCATGATGTGGTCCAGCACGTCACACATGGGCCAGCATAGTATGTAACACATGGGCATGTCACGTATGTTTGGAAAACTTGGGGAACGTGCATGGGTGCATGTGGTGTAGGCAGTCTACTTATCTGATACATGATGACACTCAAAAGGAGTATCCCATGTACCTTGGTGGCTGGTAGCATGACGTGGCATGAATTTTCACAATAGCTGTATAAAATGATAAGGGGAGAGCTTCACAGGGGCTTCTTATGAATATTGGCAGCTACTAGTACGATACGAGCACGATACAGCACAAGGGACAACATTGGTACAGCAGACGTCCAGCATACGGTAGGTGGTTATAAGGTCAAATAGTTTGTCCCATCAATCTGAATGGAAGGGTTCATCATGGGAACTTACATTGTTAAATAGTTATCATACGAGAAACACTAAACCACCACGATAGATAAGTGAACTGGAATCACAAAGTGTGGTTAGTAGAAGCCTAAGGTTGGTGAACTTAGGAAGAGCATAGGTATTACAGGCTGAATCACTATAAAAACCATCTATCGATTACCAAACTCTCCTCCTCTTTATAGATTATATGTGAGCCACCTTTAATCTAAGAAAATGAAGAGAAACTAAAAAGATAACTAACTTCGGAAAAATAAAAATCAATTTAGCTCCCCTCTTCATTCATTCAGTCATCTAGGGACCCATTGGTAGTGGTTGACAAGTTGTTCCATTCTGGTAATATATCTAATGTTTTGAGTGAACATCCTTCGAGCAATATCTTATGCAAGTCCACATGGAGTGCAACAAGTGGGATATTTTGAGGTTTTGAGAAGAAAATATACGAATTCTATCAACTATATTTTTATCCCACTTGGTCTCTATGTGGAATAGCAAAACAAGACAATTGACTGAAGGATTCTCAGAATGCCTGCTTCCAATTTTCTGCAGAGAAAAAAAATGAAAATTAGGTGCTTCGGGGGTTTCCTAAATCTTGCTAAATTTCTAATTTTAAGGAAAATTTCTTCTAACTTTAAAAGAGGGAATAAATATTCAGTAGCAAGATCATGAGAAAATAAAAATTGAAGAAAAAACAACAGGAAACTGCTTACTATATCTCCTTTCGATGAAACTGCAGAGAAAAGCACTAAATCGTATGGGATTTCCTAAAACATTGACGAATTTCTAATTTGGGGTGGAAAAAGGAGAGGCATGGCTAACCTTTGAAGAAGAAAGGAATGTGTCTCCATGCGGCAAGATATGCAGCAGCTCAATGGTGTGACGTAGTACTGAAAAAAAAAAAAAAAAGATTAAAAGAGACCAGAATGAACAAAAAAATGGACAAGCTTTGCAAATAATTGGGTTACCTGCAGAGCTGCGGGACTCTCCACTTGTGCTCATGACGGCCCTTCACGCTGGGCGGCAGAGTATTGTACTGCCTCCAGTCCTTCAGTATTACCTTCAGATCGTTCAACTTATCTATCAATCCAATACAACAATTTGCGTGCATGGTGGAGACCTGATTGAAATCGCTGCTGGGTTCGCATATCCACCCAAAGTGGACGGTGGGTAGATATTTCAAGTTCAGCCCGATGTCGTGGAGGATTTGGTCGCCCTTGATGTAATTGAGCACGTCCTGGTCGTGAGCGCCCGGGTGCTCCACTCTTTTCTCGTACCAGTACTTGTAGAACTTTATTGTTTTTTCGTTGGACTTTATATATTTGAACCCTCCGTTGATATTGTTCGTTCTGTCGTCGGGGTTGCCGTTGAATCGGTCGCATGCGATCTGGAAGTCGCCGTCTTTGTAGAAGAATGGCATGGGGTCTCGGAACCACATTATATCAGCGTCCTGCAAGAAAAGAGCAACTTTTATATGAACTTGGGCGGATAAAAGATAGAGACCAGAGTCGAAAATTATGGAACCAATGTATCTTTCGGGTATTCTGCATCAAAAACTCGACGTTTGCCCACAGTTTTTAAACGGCAATAGGTTCAACTTCGATGCAAAAAACAAGTGCATATGTATGTGTATGCATGCGTGTGTGCCTGCGTGCTTGTATCAGTAAGTTCAAAGCTCGATGCGCGTAGAACTCGAGGAAATGACAGATACTATGGGGTGTTTCGATCCGGCTTCAATTTTTTTGCTATATTTTACGTTTTTTTTTGGATCTGCACTTTCGTCTTCTGGTTCCCTCGGGGAAAGTCTCTAGGGTTCCTCTTTTCCCACATTTGACCTCTTCCCCTGACAATTTGCTCCAACGGAAAGAGTAGATTTGGTGGATAGCTACGTTAAAGGACTCCACAGGAAATTAGAGGTGGCCTCTTTGCACTCCATAAATTGATTTCCACTAATTTGGTGGACTGGGCTGCTTCATGAAGCACTTAGGATACACAAGCTAGATCGAGAGCCTGTTCATCAACCGACACCCGTTCACCTGTCAACGAAGTTTACAACAGTCGGTGCCAAGCATAAAGGAAAAAATGTTTAGACAAAGGCTAAATACAAATGTTCGATGCGTGGTTACTGAAGAACTTCATCAGGCTAGAGCATCAGCACCGCAATGAAGCAAAGGAAAGCTAATATTATGCACACTGGGATAGGGGGGCCAACTTGGATAGTAATTTTCTTTGTGCTAATATCAGCTGGGATAATATTATGCCCACTGGGAAAAGCGGAAATTTGAAGGCTATATGCTTTGTGCTAAGTATTAGAGGCTAACTTTAGACAGACTAGTTTCAATATTCGTGGAAATCTGTTATCCATGCTCTATCTTGACGGTAGCCCCTGGATCTCTTTACCTTCCGAATATTTTTTGAGAAACAGATTTATAAAAAAAATAAAATCCGAGGTTCAAAAATCGTAGGCCATCAACGTTATTTAAAAAAATAAATCTGTTGAAACAGAAAAGATAAAGTTACCGTAAAGATGAAGTCATATCCCATCTCAAGGACGACTCTCAAAAAGTCTATCCTTATCCACGTCATTTTTACGTAATCCTCCGTCAAAAATAACTTCTCTTGCGAGAAATCTGCTCCTTCGGTCTTCAAAGCGTAGCAGTGGGTATGCTTAGACTTGCATATCTCGTACGCCTTCTCGTCAAGAGCGACGATCACCAAGTGCTCCAAGAGCCTTACCGTGCGCTCTCCTGTCTGAAAGCTCTCCAGGAAGAGGTCAAGAACAGAACCAGGAGCTGCCCATGCCTCATTCATCATCGTCAATATCACAGTATTATCCACCATGGCTGCTTCTTTGAGCACAGTCTTCAGCTTGATTTCGTCGCTAACCTGCTCCGGCGACACGGAATTGGTTACGAAAAAGTCAGAGGAGTTCGAAGCGCTAAAATATATACCGCACTTCCCTCTATAATTCATGGGCGTAGAATTAAAAAGGCGGTCATCACGAGAAACGGGAGCTGACATCAACCTTAAGCACCGGATCGCGGGTACTAACGGACAGAAACAAGGAAAGGACGTCGCTATGAAAACGCAGATGACACCATCGCCTTAGAGGACTAACCTAGCAGGCGACAACTCGCTCAATCCGGCCTTTCCAGTATGTTTCCGACGGTCTAGAAATGATGTCGCTACCGGGAGGGGATGATTATGATCGGAAACCGGAAACGTCCATGTCCGAAGATGAAGCCAACGGAATTAATGGCCATGGCCGCACGTGGAGCGAAGCTCGGGAAGCACGAGGCCCAAATGGGAGTACTAGAACGCGAGATCTTAAGCGAGAGAGCGCGTACCGCATCATCATTAAGATTTAGGAAGCTCCTGTTGGACAGTTGGAGGAAACCGGCGATACCGGCGGTGTCGTAGAGGAGGACGTAGGGGAATGTGACCCCGGCGATCGCTAGCATGGCACAAAGGAACCTCCTTCGCCAGGTCGGCGGTTTCCCCATGAGCGGAGGATGGTACAAGGCTTCTGTCTGCCTCTGAAACCTGCTCAGGGCCCCAATGAAACCTACGGACTCATTTATAGAGAGGGGTGACGAAATGTTAGAGAGAGAGAGACAGAGAGAGAGAGCACGAAGTCCAGAACGAGAGAGCGACTGCATGACAGAGACAATGCGGCTCCTAGGCCATCCGAGAGTCCCCCCCCCATACACACCACACCCACACAACGTAGCGAGAGAGAGAGAGGAGAGGGAAAGAGATAGCAGAGCAGGGGGGGAAGGAGAGCGACTGCATGACAGAGACAATGCGGGTCCTAGGCAATTCCCAAAGTCCCCCCCCCCCTTCACATAACGTAGCGAGAGAGAGAGAGGAGAGGGAAAGACAGAAGAGTAGGGGGGGAAGGAGAACGACTCCATGACAGAGACAATGCACGTCGCTTGGCAGTACAGCTGTCCCCAGACTGTTTGCATGGTCAGCAACCCCCAACCCCCAGAGGGAGAGAGAGAAAGGGAGCCTGGGTCCTGCTCGACCCGTCAGCCTCCCTCTCCACTAACTAGTCTAAATGGCCATTGAGATTCGCCGGAGACGTAGAAGCAACCCAACTACCTAGCTGGAAACGGGAGACTGTGCGGGCTCGGACATCGTTGGACTGCTGCATTCCCCCAACGTCCCAGATCCTCCCCTTCCTCCGCGGATCGATCCGGTCCCGTCACAACCGTCCATTGTCGCGATCAGCTTCGCTCATCCGTTCATGACTTCACCTCGTCTTCATAATTCTCCGTGCCCAGTGATAGTGTTTAGGATAAGATAATGACATATATAGCTTCTGCCACTGAAACAGACTTTCAGCGTTCATTTAAAAAGTGCCAGTTAGGTAGATGCGTTTGGTTCCCCCGTTTGGAGTTGACAAAATGAAAATAGTTATTTTCAACTCCATTTATTAAGAACTGTGGCTGATTTATTTGCGAGGCATCAAGCAACTTGATGCCACATCTGATCTATGATCTTGAGTTGACATCAAAAAAGAAACAGGGGGTCGATGGTTGATGATGTCGTGGTTGTTATTTGATATATTATGCATTTTACGTTTTTTCAAAAATATTTTATATAATGGACATTTAACGAGTAATATATTTGGATGACTTTATTCAATATTGGTATATGTTGCATCCTATCCATATCATTTAGAGGGTTTTCCCTCCACACAAATTATCATATTTGTCAACGAGTCAGATTTTCTGCATGTACCTTTTATGGGCTATCAAAAACTAATGACCATTCCCCAAATAAATCTAATAATAAAATTATTTATTATAAATATTATAACTTAATTAAATTAATCTTCTATTGTTCCCTTTTCTATCTCATATTTAATTTATAATTTGTTCGCTCATAAGTGTGCCAAAAGAAGAATCAAGAAGGGAATGAATTTAATCGTTTTTTATTTTCAAAATTTGTTCAGATATGATAAGTCAACTTTTTTCACGATATGAGAAAGATTCTAGTACCACAGTGATCAAGCACATGTGTCTCCTCATTTCTTCTAATGATCCCTTTAGCTTCCCGGTCTCCATCTGAATCATTAACAGGGCCCCCGGTGATGGCCCCCGGAGCAGTCTCCGATGGACTCGTTTTATAAGGAGTGGTGATGAGGATGCTAGAGATAGAGACAGACAGATAGAGAGAGACAGAGACACAGAGAGAGAGAGAGAGAGAGAGAGAGAGAGAGAGAGAGAGAGAGAAACAGAGAAGACGAAGTGGGCAAGGAGAGAGCGACTACATAACATAAGTGGGGATGTGACAGAGACAAGGGGGGTCGCTTGGCATTTAGGCAGGTGCCTGTGGTCCCCGCGCTCGGAGTTGACAAAATTGAAAACATTTTTTTTGGTCAGCGCCAATTATTGGGAAATGTGGCAGATTTATTTGCCCTGCATCAGCCGCGTAATTGCACCGTACGGGGTTGAGTTCCGGAAAAGAAAATCAGGGGGGTCGGTGGTTGATGATGTCTTGGGTTATTTCATATTATGTTTTTCTTTTAAGGAACGTCTTATAAATGATGGAGAATTAATGGGTAATCTATATCGGTGACTTCACTCGATATTGGTATATGACTTTACTGAAGGCTAAGACAACAGCTCACTTGTTTACATTCAAGACTCTAAATAAGTACAATAGAAATTTAACATTAACTCATTGCTTGCACGGCAGCCACACAGTTCAGCGCAGGGGACAGCACGGGGTGAGCGTGCAGCAACGCGCAGCGTGGTGCGAACTAGTGGGTGGAGCCATTGGCATGGGAGTTTATCGCACCATTAAACAGTTATCTTGGCAAAAATACTTAACCACTGATTTCTGACGGTTTTTATGGGGCGTTTATCATATTCCGCGGTGTTTACATGTCCCAACAGAGGTGATGGGATGTTGACCTATCAGGGGTAGTTTGAGGATTTTCTATGGGTGGCTGCCATGTAAGGTAGAGTGAGAGTCGTGGACGGGTTGTCCCCTCCTACGAGTGTATCTCGGGGTTAGAGAGAATCTCTCTTTTGAGCAACAGCTTACGCAGGTCCCTAGTGAGGAGATAAAGGCTGTTTGGGAGAGGGGCTAGCATCCAAGGTCGCACGTAGCGCAACGAGTGAGGAAGCTGTTATGTTCACCGACGTAACACTTGCTCTTCGCGGCTGAATAATGAAGGAGATTTACGGGGATAGTGAGGGCTGTGAGAAGGAAAACTAATTATTTCTATGTGATATAGTTTTATCCGACTTCGTTTTTTTGTGTGAAATACCCAAAAAAAACAATAGAACGGAGGGTGCTTCCCACGCCTGCTTCCAATCATCTGCAAAGAGAAAAGGACAAAATTTCGCATTGTGGAGGAAAAAAACACTTCCAACTAACGGGAGAAAAACAAGAGGAAGCTGCTCACTCACTGATTTGGAACCGTCGGTCAAAAAAGTGATGTCGCGGCGACGATGAAGCTACACGTTTCTGAGGGTACAACTCACTGATTCTGAAGCTACGCGCCACCGCATCCATCACAAGACGAAGCCCCTAGAAAACGAAGGAAAATAAACGGTACACGTGAAGGTCTCTAACGTAAGAGTGCCGGGGAGAGAGAGAGAGGGCGCCGAACCCGATGAATCATCGATCCTCGAACCTTGCGAGGAGAAGGCGTGCCCCAGTAGAGTTGGGGAGTTCCTGCTGGACGGCACTAGCAGCCTTGTGGGAGGATGGCTAAACCTTTTCTCTGCCTCTGCTACCAGCTCAGAGCCCTTAATAAACTAGGGACTCACTGAAAGACGTCGTCGGACGTCGTCGGACGTCGTCGGACGGAGGAGATTGGAACGCTGAATAGAGAGAAAAGCTCTGAATTGGCTGGTGGACCGTTTGGCCACAGCCGCGTGGACACGTATCGACGAAAATTCGAAGCTGACCCCATTGGTCAGCCATCATCCAACATGGGCTCTAGCTATCCGCGCATTCCATAAAATTAAATATTTCTATTTATCGATAAATTACAATTCTTCAAGTTGTTTTGTCAACGGAGTTGGCAGATCCCCCGAGGAGCCGGATTCCGCTTCGGTGAAATCTGGAAAAACCCCCCCGCCGGGTATCGGGTTTTGAGATGGCAGGCTCGGAGCGAATCCTGATGTAGATGGGCGCCGCCGGCTTTAAGTTCTCTTTTTCTTGTATTAATTTCTCTTTTCTTGTAATCCATCTTATTATAATCAGAGAAAAATAGAAATATTCCATCATCCTCTCGACCCCCCTCCCCAAGAGTGGAGAGAGAGAGAAAGAGAGAGAGAGAGAGAGACTCGGGCTTGTTTGGTTTGGGGCTTCATAGAGTTTAGGGTTTTCCACCGGGGGTGTTGAGAGAGGAGTGAAAATGGGCCAGGCTTGGATGGGGATGGGGCCTGGCCCTGATCGAGCCCCGATCCGTCGACGCACCTCTGAGTTAAACGGCTGCCGGGGTCAACGATCGGTGGAGCGCGCAACACCGACGGTTCAGATCCTTCCTCCAAGGTCAACGATCCGATCCCACGGCACCAGAGCCATTAATGGCAGCTTTGAAAAATGGGTCCGGGGTCTCGATATTTGCTCCATCCGTCTTAGCCCGTCCTGTGGGCCGCCGACTAAGACGCTCCGGCTACTTCATAAATACGAATCCCCGATTGATAGAATTGACTTTCAATTCCGACTGTAGAAGCCGGGGATCCGAGGGCCCCACAGATCATCTGCGGTCGAATGAGGTTAGCTCAATCTTCCACATATAAAAATTAACATCAATGTGGGGGACTATCTCAAAAGACTCGACCGATTTATAAGAATGTTCAGGAAAAGGATGG